CAGTGGCATAGGAATGAGCTTTGGCATCAGTTCCAATGATTGGGCGTCTTGTTCTGCATTGAACTTTCGCTGCTGCAACTGGCGGACAACGTTCCGACAGCGCTCCAACTCGATGCGCTCCCTGGCAATGAAGGCTGCGGAGAAGCGACGAGCCTTGCCCATGTTGCGGCGTATCATCTGCCAGGCACGACGCGGCAAGTGGCGCGTCTCCAGCTGAGGAAAGAAACTCTGCACGTAGCTGTTCATGTCATAGGAACTGCCCAGTATTGCCTTGTCGATAAAGGATTCAATGAACTCGCACCAGATCCAGCGCTGGCAATTGGGCAGCTTCAAGTACTTGTACAGCCGCTCACTGACCTTGAAAGTCTCCTTGGCAGTGGGCTCGATGTCCGGCTCCTGGACACCCTCAGTAGAGGTCTTGGCACGTAGTCGCTTACTAAACTTCGGCAGCTTGATGAAAAGCTCGCCATCGTCCTTGTCAGCCGTCTGCGATCGGAGCAGACGTTGCGATTCGTTTGCCTTGGCCATCCTCTGCACGCGGTGTAATCCAATATTTGACAGCTGTGGCGGTGTTACAGCGGTTTCGGATTCGGATGTTTCTTGGCTAATATCTGCAAGGGGTTCAGACATTTTGTTATATTTTTGACAGTTGCTTTCAAATGCTACACGGTCTAAACTTTACCGGCGTCTACTTCCTGATTCCTGATTCAACCAACTTTACCAGAGACTACTTGTTCAAAATATCATGGGGATTATAAAATAACCAAAATGACATTTCCGTTGCGAGGATAAATTCGAAATTGACCCAAATACAGAGTTGCAAATGAAAAGGGGTGACCAAATTTGACCAAATTGAAGCTCAACGGGTTTCGTGGATCTTCGAAAATTAAAAACAATTTGATGCTGATTTGACTGGGTATTTATTGCATATTTGTGAATCATAATAATTCTTATCAATTTTAGAGGTGACCCAAAGTCAACAATTAAAGCTTTTTTCTTAAATATGTAATTTCTTGTAAATTTCGGACTGCACTAGAGCGGGTTCGACTATTTCTTCTTTGACAGCCCAAACATCTCGCATAGGGACTTCATATCACAGGCATCCTTGTTGTTCATGTTGGCTTTCATTTTCGAGAGCAGTGTGTCCACTTTGGAGCAGTCGCCGGATAAAGCTGGATGAGTTTCCAGGTTCAATATTTGTCCGGTTTGACCGGCAATGGAAACTTCACGCAGTTTCCGTGCGCCGTGAGTAATCATCATCTGAATTCAGACGCTCGAAATAACAAATTAATTTAATTGAATGGAAAGAAGACACTTACATCCATCAGCTTCAGACCGATTGGCCGATCTGCCTTCTCATTGCCAAATTTCTCACAGAGATTAACGCAGGTGTGCTTCAAGGAATGGATTCCGATGGTGTTCAGAGTGCCATTGCTTGAACTCATCAAGTAGAACATTCGCACCACCAGGCACCAGCGTTGACGTTGCCCCGGAGTGGCCTTCTGCCAGACGTGGCATCTGCCCATGTAGCTGTGGCCATTGTAGTTGATATCGAAATGCGGCACAGGCAGCGCAATCCAATAGCTCAGCTGAGTATCGATCATGGACTCAGGCAAAGCCACAGAGGCCGGCTTGGGAAACTTTTCTATAGGCAACTTGATGGCCACGAGAAAGTCGAACACTATGCTCGTACTGTGCTTAGCCTTCAGCTGGGTGGCGATAATGGTGTGGGAACTGACTGGATATAAAGATGTATGATAGCACAATCGGTAGCTACGTCCGGAGCCATCATTGCATGTAATCTGTGGCTGTGGCCTCAGCAAATTACTTAAATCATTGCGTAAATGGGTTTGTAAATAAACTGAGGAGATCAAAGAATCTCCAACAACTTGCTCCTTGAACACTGAGTGTAAATAGATGTAGTCTTCGTTTTTGAATTCTATGTAGAACGGAAAACGCAGATCCAAGAGCAGATAACAATTGAAGTTGGCGGGCACATCGACCTTACTTCCGCTTATATAGGTGGCTATAAATGGTGATGTTGGCGAATAAAGCGAATAGGGTGTAGAGATCAGTCCTTACCAGTTTCTGGCAAATTGCTGAAACTGCCAGCGAGCATTGAGCGACGCTCCTTGAGGGCTGTATTTATCCAGCCAGCGATATAGGCCGAGTCAAAGAGAAAGTCCTTGTGCTCCTTCGGAGTTACTTTCATTTGCATGACAATATTCTGCAGACACTTATCGAAAGTTGTAGACATTTTTCTTCCAATTCCTTAATTAAAATGATTTTTGAATCTAGTTAATTAACAAAATAATATTCGAGTTACAAATTTTGCGATTTTCATTGTTTGTAATAGATTCAGTGAAAGTATTTCTACTACAAAGACAGTAGACGCAAGGCAACTGTAATGGAACACTGAATATTTTAGAATGAAGTTTAACGGTCTTTTTAGTTAGTATTGTCAGTAGCCTTGAAACATGGTATTTCAAAAGTTGGTGGGAATGGAACGACTAGAAAGGATTTTTGGGAATGGAACGATTCAGCGACTCAGCTTAATGGCCGTTAGGTATACATTTAATACCAACTATGGAAGAGAATTATTTGTTTTCCTATATATACATACATGCATAATACAATTTGCAATTTCATATTGAACAAGTTTATGTGCAGAGCTCTGTATTTTTCTTATATGCATATATAATTTATGTACCAAGATTTCGTAAATCCGTTTCGAAACCGATTGGGAATTTTAATTACATTGGAGATATTAGGGTTAATAATAATAATAATAAAGGTTACGTTTACTAGTTCCATTATTTTTTCATGGTGCCAAGTTTTTCCTTGCGTTTCTTCACATGCTTCTTTACTTTGACCTTTCGCTGTTCGGCCTTGGCATCCTTAACCGCTTTCTTACGTGCCTTTTTGCTGTCTGGGGACTCGTCACGTGGCCGCGCCGAGTTTTTAAACTTCGACGTTTCATCTTCGTCCTGGGAATCGTCGCTTTCGTTCTCACTCGACTGCTGCTCACTTCCCGCAGTTTTATTTTCAGCATCCAAAATATCTGGCTTCTTCTGCACATCTAAAGCTGAGTTTAGACCTGTGACTTTCGCATATATAAGATCTTGCTGGACACCCTGCTTGGCTTTCGCCACATCCCGCTCAAAATGAGGCACCTAAAAAGAGATATACAATAAATTCCAAATAAACAAATTTGAAATGTTCGTTAGCTACTGACCTCATCGAGGCGTTTGGGAATGTAAGTGTTTTGCCAAACAGCCTCGTCGATCTTTTCTTGTGCAGTGATGGCATCAAAGTCTCGATCCTTGATACGCTCTGATATACGTTCCAAGCATTCCTCCATATTCTGCTCGTTTATGGTTTGGTCTGTGATGAAGTCGAACAGCTCCTTCACCGTCATGGTGGCGACTGCCTTTTTGCGGAAGAACTCGGATATGTTCGTGCAGTCTTTGCGTAAAAAGTCGAACGCATGTGGATGATCGTGTTCGACCGCCTGGCTCACATCAATTATCACCAGCTGCCCGTCTTGGAACAGTATATTGAATTCTGAGAGATCCGCGTGCACCAGTCGGCATTGATTGTAAATGCGCCACATGATGACCACGCAGTCGCGGTACAGCTCACGTGCCTTTGAAGTGCTCAGCTCCACATCTTTTAGTTTTGGCGCCGGCCAGCCATCGCGGCCGCAGAATCGCATGACCAGCACATGCGAGCGCAGCAGAATAGGCTCGGGAACGGGTACGCCAGCATTGCGCATGCGCAGATAGTTGCGCATTTCCTTCTCGGCCCATGTGCGCACCATCTTTCGGGGATTATGCTTGCAGTAACCATGACGGAAGCGAAATTCGCCTGAGACATACTTGTCGCGATCCTTGAAAACAAGTATAGAAGTTTTGTAGATCTTAATGGCGTATTCATCTTCCCCATTCTTGGACACTGCATGATAGACGTTAGCCTCCTTTCCGGTGGATATGCAGCCGTTGATCTCTTGAATGAGACCACGGTTAAGCAGCTTGAAAAGTATCATTCTTGTGCGTGGATCCATAACCTGTTCTGCTGTAGCTCGGTCATGCTTATCACGCACTCGTACTCGCTCTGTCTCCTGACGACGATCGAAGCTCACTAGTCGGTTGGCTGCCTGTGCGCTCATATTGGTGTTTGGATCATACTTCTCGACATTTATGCGCGCAGAGTAGCGACGAAGTACTTTTTCATTGGGCTGGTAACTGCTCAAGCGCTGCGTGCCGCCTCCTGTTCCTCCAGACCCGCTCCCAATACTGTTACCACCAGTTGTAGTTAGCTGTGGTTGAGCGTTGTGCTTGTTGAAACCACTGTAGGATTCCTCGTAGGCATCGTAGTCGTCACCAATATCAAAGGTATCGTCTTCATCTTCATCGTCATAATCTGAATCAGAGTCACCGGATATTGCACTCTCTATAACTTTCAGGCTAAGTTCGTCGCTAGCATCCTTTTCGTTAAGTTTGATATTTTTGAAAATGTCATCCTTCACTGTAAGAGATTTAAAGTCATGAACCCACTCAGACTTTGAAGTATTGAATATTAATTATTAAATAGTTCTCAGCATTCCAAAATTAATCTTAGCTTACCGCTTTTAAGTCTTCCTCATCTTCCTCTGGATCGCTATATTTGTGTTCATCACTCATTATGTGAGTGAAAGCAAAGTATATTTGTAGGTGTTGAATTTAATAGTAATTGCGAATTTTGGTATTGTATAGCCACTCTTAATATATTCAAAGCCTTTGTAAACCAACTTTCGGATTAATAACAATTGAGAAATGAGCTTGCACGTGTAACTCGCGAACAGCTGATTCGTTTGCCAATCACATTGCACGGTGACAAAACTATCGTATATCGGTACAAAATGTTAGGAAACAGCTGTTCTGTTAACGCATGAAATCCACGCTATTAATAACAAAACAGCTGAAAACAAATGAGCTACAATAATAAATAGTGCCGGCTGAAACAATTTGCTTGTTTGCATCCTACGAAATTAGAGTAAACCTCTTATAAACAACCGATAATCATGTTTGTACTGGCAGAACTGAAAGATAATGTACGCATTGCTCCAGATCATTTCAATTTAAAGCTCGTGGACGCCGTGCGCGATGAAATTGACCGGAAGCTGGCAAACAAGGTAAATGAAAGATTTGTGAATGAAACTATTGATTAACATGTGTCTCGCACTTGGCAGGTGTTGCTCAACGTTGGTTTGTGTATAGCAATGAAGGAAATTGTGTCACTGAAGGACTCAATAATATTACCAGGAGATGGCGCCTCACACACGGAGGTTCTTTTCCGCTATGTGGTTTTCCGCCCAATGGTAGGCACTGTAATGACTGGCAAGATAAGGAATTGTAGCCGCGAGGGAGTTAACGTAACCCTGGGCTTCTTCGATGATATACTCATACCACATGCTGCACTACAGCATCCGTCGCGATTCGATGAGGCGGAACAAGCCTGGGTCTGGGAATATCCGTTAGAAGATGGCGGCAAACACGATCTATTTATGGATGTTGGCGAGCCCATTAAGTTTCGTGTGTCACGGGAAATATTTGAAGAAACATCGCCCATCGGTCCACCAAAAGCAGAAGGTCAACAGTCACAAAATGCCAGCAGCTCAACAACAGCAGCCGCAGCGACAGCAGCACAGGAAGTGAAGACGCCCTATAAAATTATCGTAATTATGATTATGAATATCAAAAGAAAGCCATTGCTCAATTATGTGCTTATTTTCAGGGAGCTATCAATGAGTCTGGTCTTGGAGTGCTTTCCTGGTGGGATCAACAAGGCAAGGAGGAGGAACAAGAAGTTGAAGACGGCGAAGATAATACGGAATATGAGAATGACGATGATGGCGAGGGCGCCTGCGAGGAATGACAAAGGAGTAGCCTCAGCTCCTAAATTTGTAAATAGTTATCTATTAAGGCAAAAGCATCTTTATTTTTAGGAAATCGTAAAAATACAAGTAAGAACGTTGTAATCATTCACTTTTCGCGATTCATTCATTCTAGCTTATCTAAAATCCGGAAAGTTTATCCGCCTCGCCGTTTCCTTTTATCACTGCAATGATCGGCTATTAATGCTGCTGAGAGTAAAATTGTAACGAGCATTTTGGTAAAGCAACAGGCGAACAGAAATGAGAAGTATGTAGTCTAAAGTGTATTGTAACGCACTGTTATGTAGCAGTGTAGGTTATGCTAAACAACAGTTTACAGTGTAAATGCTCTGTTTTGTTACAGTGTGTTAACATGATCATGTTAACTCAATGTTTATTAACGGTTTGTTAATCTACATTTTTCGCCCTAGTCCTCATTTCGGTTGGCATGGTACTTCCATAGCCTCTACAGTTATTTTGGGCAAATACTAGGCGCACAAAAATGAGAAGTAGGGTGCAAAATGGGGAGTAGGGAGCCAAATAGTCTGTTCTAGATTTATACTTACCTTTGACGACTAATTGTAGATGCTGCAGATTGAACTTACTTTGCTTTTTAGCTTAAAACAAAAGGAGAATTGTACTGTCGTAAATGAAACGCAATATATTCAAATAGGCTTTAGTTTATTTTATATATGTATATATATAGATTTGTTTTTTAAAATTTGTTCTTTAGATTTGCATTTGTTTAAATATTGTTCATGCTTGGTTTGAAATATTTTCAAAACAATGATCCTCACATATATCCTTTAAACTGTTTTTGGTAGCGCATCTCTTTTACATAATTTTATCCACATATTTTTTAGTTTATGTTTTTAACTCTTTGTCGTTAGCGACTTAGGTCTAGGAAGGGCGGCACAAGGACTTCAAAATATACAATTTAATGCTTCTCTCTTTACTTTCTTCGTAGCTGGATTTTGTTTCGATTTTCTTTTGGTTTTCATATTTCTTCAGCCATTTGCTTAACGTGCACATTTTGCTAGATGTTCTACTTCTAAAAACTGGAATATTTTACTTCTGTTAAATTGTTGTTTGATTCATAGAGGGGCTTTAGCACAGTTATTGTATGGTACAATTGATAAAAAGGTGTTTTCCTTGTGTGTGTATGTGTGTGTGTTAGGTGAGCTAAGTATAAAGCTGTTTGGCAAACTTTGCCCATAGATAGATATTCGCTTCGGTATTTTTGTTTTGTTTTGAGAGTTGTTGATTTGAACAATAAATTGCATAATTTTTGATTTTTTGTTTTTCCTTCGTTATTTATTTAGCGTTTTGTTTGTCTTTTAGGCGCAATCTTTATAATTAATTTACATTCACATACAAGTATGCATATAATATCTATATAAATTGGGTTTTCTTTTCTCTTTTCTCTTTGTTCTTGTTTATGGTTAATTACAGTGAGATTAATTCAAAACTTGCTTTAAAAACTACAATAATATAAATAATATATTATTTATAATATTAGATCTTCATCTATTGTACTGTGTAATTGTAAATAAATATAATTAAGAGGGTCTTTTATGGTTAATTACAGTATAGCTCCTTGAACGGCTCCCAACTATACATATAGACGTACATACATATACATGTAGTTCCATTTGAAATCACAGTTGAAATCATAGATAGAAAATAAAATATTGGATTTACAGAGTTACGAGAAGTTTCTATATAGCATAAGAGGAACTTGCCGACTAAAGAAAATAATTAGCATAGAATTCGATTAGTTGAACTCGTAAAACTGAATCTAAATCAAAATCAGTTGACTTCACATTTACATTCACATAATAAAGTAATCCAGAAATCAATTATTCGATTATCAAACAGCGTGGCAAATGCTCTTTCAGATAGTCGAACAATTCATGCGAGGCGCCCGGACAGTTGGTCAGCTCCAGTTCCTGCAGATGTCGCAACTGGATGAGGCTGGACAGCCCGGATGAGGTCAGCAGCGGACAGCCGGCCAGCGACAGCACCTGCAAATTTCTCATCGAGCACAGGTGCTGCAGCCCAAAGTCTCGCACCTGCGAGCACCAGCGCAGAAAGAGGGCCGTCAGCGATAGCATCGTCGAGATATAGCCGACACCTATATCTGTTATGTGAACGCATCTGTAATTGAAAGAGAAAGATAGAGAGAAAACAATATAACATATAAGTATGCAAATATACTAGTAAGATTAATTTTGTAGAGATCCTTTTAGAGTTTCTACGATTTATAGGATATCAGCCACACCTTGCATAACCTTTTACCCTGCTTGAAACTGTTTCAATGGCAGCAGCGAATAAAAAGTTAACATTATTCATGTTTATATTACTTCATACTTCTAATTATTTAAGCAGCTAAATTGTTTTACTTTCGACAGGTAAAAACCTTTTTAGAAATTACAAATTTAATAAACTCTGCTTATGACAGAGAGAGAGAGAGAGAGAGAGAGAGAGAGAGAGAGAGAGAGAGAGA